TCTATTTAGGATAGATGAGAAAGCTAGGATTAGAGTCGTTGGATAAGCCTTTAGGCCTTTGTTTATAGTGTTTGCTTTAGTTATTGCCCTTTTTGCCATAGTTTGTAGTCTGTGAATGTATGCTTCTGTGCTAACGTGGGTATGGGTGCTTTTTGTGAATTTGTGTTCTTAGTTTGTTTCGTGCTACTGTGTTTACTTCTACTTTTGTGTTGAGGCAGGGTCTATAAGAATTGTGAAATTCTTCTGGGGTTGTTGTAGTTTTTTGTTCCGGCTTGTTTATTATGAATTTTGATTCTCTATTTGGAGCCTTATAAATGTATTTCTTAATTGCTACTTTCTCCAACCCGTAGAAATAGTCTTATTTTTCTACTTGTTTGTGTCTCATAAAAAGAATCATATTTCCGAAATTGTTTAAAGAAATAGGTATATTTAGTGTTTTCTAAGCCTTGTACTATACTATAATTAAAAAGTTTCACTCACCTCAATGTGCACACTTTATATGGGATGGATGCAGAATGCAGTATTTTTCTTGGGTGTAGTGAACAAATTGAGTTTGGTCTTCATTTTCATCTCTCTGTGACCAAGTGTTGCTTTTTTGGACTTAGAATCGGATTAAATGTGGGTATTGATTGTTCTATTCTCTGTATTTGTTATCGTGTAATGCACTTGGCGATCAGTTGCTTGTTTTTTTCCCTTGATTATTACTGTTCAGGTGCTTGAATGGATGGAAACAAAACCAGAGAGGTTCTGGCTGAGCACAGGTGACATAGCCATTAAATTAGACCTAATATCCAAGCTGCATGGAGCTTCAAGCGCTGAAGATTACTTCAAGACGCTGGGAGACTCTTTAAAGGACGGACGAGTATATGGTTCACTTTTGAATGCGTATGTCAATTCCAAAATGAAGGAAAAAGCTGAATCTGTATATGCCACAATGAAAGAAAAAGGTTATCTACTTTATGCACTTTCATGTAATGTTATGATGACGCTTTACATGGACACCAAAGAATACGATAAGGTGGAAGCAATAATTTCAGAAATGAGAGTGATGAACATCCCATTAGACGAATATTCATACAATATCTGGTTAACCTCCCTCGGCCATCAAAGTTCTATGGAAAAGCTGGAGCTAGTTTTTGAGTCAATGAAGGCAGACGCCAATGTTGAGCTTGATTGGAGTACTCTAAGTACCATGGCTAGAATGTATATTAAGACAGGACAATTTGAAAAAGCCGAAGAGTATTTGAAACTGGCAGAGGATAAAATCGAAGGTCAAAACCGTTCCCCTTACCATTACATTATCAGTCTTTACGGAGCAATTGGTAAAACCGGAGAGGTGTACCGTGTTTGGGAAGCTTACAAGTCAAAATTTATGAAATTGACTGACATGAGTTACCGTGGGGTAATTACAGCCCTGGTAAAATGTGGTGATGTCCAAGGGGCTGAAGATCTCTATGACGAATGGTCATCATCAAAGCCAAGGCTATTTGACCCACGCATAGGAAACATTCTATTGGCGTGTTATGTCAGGAATGGGGAAACAGAGAAAGCTGAGGCCTTTTTCAGTCAAATGGTAGCAATGGGTGTGAAGCCGAATTCAAGAACGTGGGAGATTCTAGCCGAGTACCATATTATTGGAAAGAGAGTCGCGGACGCTTTGTCTTGCTTGAAGGATGCTGTGGCTGCCATGGACTCAAAAAACTGGAAACCTAAGCGCGCAATTGTGTCTTCTATAACAGAGTATTGTGATGAAATAGGTGACACAGCAAGTAAGGAGGTGTTATTCGAGGTTTTGAAGCAAACTTGTTATTTTGATGATGAAACAGACAAGGACGAGGATGACTTTGCATGAGGAAAAAAGCAGAGAGAGAGAGAGAGAGAGAGTTTACAGGGCTGAAGCTCTTGCACTATTGAGGAGATGGATGGCGGTTCTCGGAGGGAAGCGGGGTAATATAGTCCGAGGGTGTGAAAATTGAAATTTTCAAGTTGGAGAAGTATAAAACTGTGTTGATGACAAAACCCAGAAAAAGCTAAGCAATATTGGAAGCATACCCAGGTACTTTGCTTTGGACAACTGAATATTATTAGTATGGGAGTGTAGTTTGTTCATAGGTGTATGACTAGAACTCTGTGCATTATTTGGATGTGATGAGATTTTGATTTTCTCTAAACTCTGTTGATTCTGATTTTGAATGAGTATTTTGTAACCATTGAATGAGCTCTATATATCTAATTCCGAATTCTTTTTTTTTTTTTTTTGCTTTTTTTGTAAAGAAGTTTAGTTTTCCCTTGTCGATATTTTCCGTACAATTTTTAAATATATAAATTCTGTTTTTTAAATAAATTAATATTAAAAATAACTCATCCAATTATCGCAACCCAATTAGTTTAAATTTGAGAGTTAATGAGTAATTCTTAATTTATCGCAATAATTACCCGATTATACACACACGTATAATATTGGATAATGATATTTGTACTCTAATTTTTTATACTTGCACACCAAAATGCACAATTAGGGTATACATGCACATACAAGCACACATTTTACAAAATTATTTGAGTTTCAGTTCAATGGATCATTACAAATGGGGATATAATAATAATATAATGAAATTAATGAAGAAGAAATAAGATTTAAAAAAAATGAGAAAGAAAAAGAGCTAGAAAGAAGTGAAACAATCATTTTCAGAAGAGTTGGAATCATCGCAAGGGGAGTGATTGTGTCTGCCTTCATAAGTTGTAATAACCATTCTGCAATCCTCTGATAGCCTTTCCACTCTCTTCTTCACTCTGCAATTGCTCTGTGTACACCTATAATAACTCCTATAAAAATAATTATTTGTTAGTTATTGAGCATATAATTTAAAAAATGTATATAAACATGTCAAGGAGTGTCACAGTTTGACCAAAAAAGTCAAACTATGACATTTATTTTCGGACGGAGGAAGTACGTTTTCATAGAGAAGACCTCATCCAATCTAGTAAACATTGTTCTACCATGATTTTTGCGGAGCTTAAGAAAAGTATTTTAAGGAATAAAAGAGTATGGTTGGAATAACTAATAATTACTCCCTCCGTCCCCAATTTGATTACAAATTGCGGGTTACGGAGTAAAATTTCCTACTTTTTGAAATCATTTTATTTATAAGTTAGTATATTAATAAGATATAAAAATTACATATTAAAAAACTACGTCAAAAGTTCTACAAAACAAGAGGTGACAAGAATATTTTATTTTATCAAATACTTGATGAAATCGTGTAAACAAACAAAATTTATCGAGAGGAGAGAGAAAAAAATTGTAATCTATTTAGGGACAGAGGGAGTACTAAAAATCATCCTAAATAGGATTAAAATATACAAAAAAAGTATAAAAATAGGAGTTTTATGTTTTTATTTCCAAAACATATCCTCTGCCATTTTCAAATACTCTTTGGCCTTTTCAAATTGTCCTGTCTTAATATACATTCTAGACATGGTACTTAGAGTACTCCAATCAAGCTCAACATTGGTGTCTGCCTTCATTGACTCAAAAACTAGATCCAGCTTTTCCATGTGCACATGTGCATATTATTATAGTGCGAAGTCTTATTTTGATAATTTATTGCACATTACAATTTACAACCACATTACCACAGTGCGAAGTCTTAAAATGCATTTACATTACCAAACATATTTTTAACCCATATTTTAAGAATAAAAACATGGAATTCCTATTTTGATATATTTTTAATATTTTACTGCTATTTTAGTCTTTTCCCCTATATATTTATATAGAAGAAGAGAGAAATTTTTCGAACCAAGAAATTCTTTTTCTTATTAGAAATGTGAAATAATGAAAATACTAGCTACTTGGTAATTATTACAAGAAAGAAAGTAGTTTTACTTTTAAAAGTTGATAAACTTTATGAGGAAAAACACAGGGGACTGGGAATAATAATGTAGGGTATGTGTGTGTGAAATAGAGCATGAGCAGTTGATAGATAGATGGATAGATGATGAGTGAGGGCACAGTGGGAAAAAGACAATTAAGTAAAGTGAAGTGAGAGTCAAAAAATCAATACTCAATCAAAAATATTCTTAAGAGTCAGAACTCAGAAGGGTAGCTTAGCTAGCTGACCACATATATAATAAGATTCCCAGCTATATATATATATATATATATATATATATATATATATATATATATATATATATATATATATATATATATATATATATATATAGGGGGATGTAATAATTAGCACTGTCATTTTATTTGGTATTCCCCTTTTATCCTCCCCTTGTAGAGGCCTTAGGTTTATTAGTGTATTTGTCAACCAACTAAGCTACGCCCACCGGCCTCCCTTCCTCTTGTACGTTCTCCCACACCCTTTCGTGTGGCCTGGAGAACGGTGAGGTGGCCGGCTGGGGAACGATGCCCTCACCTTCCTGCCTTATGAGTACTTTTTTTCCCACATTTTCACATTTATTAATAATCACATTCCCACATTTATAAAACCATACTTTGGGAGATAAGTTATATCAAGTACTCTTATGTTTTTATTCAGAAATCATATTTGCATTCCAATTCTTTAATTATCTCGATATTCCAAAATTCACTACTAACCTCACACATGTGTAGTATTGCTCCGGGAAATTATTTAATTCAAATTTACTTTTATACTACATTTTTATGTCTAAAACATTAATTTTAATTTAACTGACTAAAATACAAATGCATGTCAATTTTTCTCTTTTACGACATTTCAAATTTTCAATTTTAAATCATAGGGACACTCGGTCTAGTTATAACACATCCAATTTTTTATTATTTTCTATTAAATGTGATTAGTGAATTAACTCAAAATGAATAATTTCTCAAAAATACTACGTATTTAGTTTAGTTGGCAGTTTGGACTAATGATGTGAAATAAAGTAATATTTAGGGGCATTAGCATCAATTATTAAATTTGGAAGTATTAATGTAAAATCACTTATTTCTGTGGGTATTCATGTGAATTCCTTCTATCTTAGCTTTCTTTATATATAAATATAGATTTTAAAAAAATACATATGATATTTCAAAATCACATTTTGAATGAATATGTTGATATTAAATTTATATCATAATTGAAATATCTTTTATTAATTTATGGTCAAAATTCTAAAATATTGATCACAAAAATTAAAATAAAAAAAAAAAGATTTGCGAAGTGCCGGGGTAGTATGGTACATATATACTACTCCATGCCGAAAGTGTCAACATCTATATGCGAAGTGCGGCGGCGAGGATGACAAAGAAGAAAAGAGCGGTGGACGTCGACAAAGAAGAATAAGGGCGGCGGCGGCGGTGGGTCTCATCTGCGCGGTGGGTTATGGGCTGGAGATGGCCGTGGTCATGATTCACGAGCCATTCATCGGATCATCGATCTTCCTATAATTTTAGTTTATTTGTGTATTTTCATTTTTTTAAATTGAGTCATTCCCTGATCCATCAGTGTTGCATTTATCTGGATGTGGAAAAGTTTGCGGTAACTTACTTATTGACCTACGTTTTTGCGTATTTTCATTTATAATTTGATAAAATAAAATATTCTTTTCATTTGTAAATAAAATAATTTTAAAAAAGATGAAAATTTTGCGTTATTTAAAGTGAGACAATAATTTTGAAAAAAAATTGAGTAAAGGAATTTTTACTTTTTTTACTTCAATTTTATCCAAAAAAGAGGTAATTAATATGATTGTACAGAGTACAATATTATGAACTGAGTAGAAAAAATAATTAAATAAAGTGACTAAATTTGATGTATGAATGATGAATGAAGAATAATTTTTAGCACTAACACAATGTAGTTTTATTGTATAATACATTGTACCCGTTTTTTAAGAACTCGCCCTAAATACGATTAAAATATAGAAAAAATATCAAAAAATTTATTCCAAATTAGGAATTTGCACAATAATAATGCGACATTGTATTTTCATTTTAACTCCTATTTTAGAAATTAAAAAATGAAACTCACATTTTAATTGATATATTTTATACGTATGTTTCATTTTTACTTTTATCTTTTTTTTCTATCATTTTATTTAAAGAGGAATTTACCTAAATAGCACTAAAACATAATGACTTTCCCTAAATAGCACTACATATGTTTTTTTTCTCAATGTAGCACTTTTAGTCATTATCCATTAGTCATTATTCAGGTAAATGTTTGTCATCACTGGCCATTATGGACTTTATAAAGTGTTATTTAGGGAAGAAAACTATCAAAGTGCCATTTAGAGAAATGACATATTTCTTATTTAAATGTAGATAGTTTGCGTCTCTATTGAGGTTCGAATTCGTAATCCTAATTTTTCCCTTAAATTATTACTTACGCTATAATTAAGCCCTAGGATGGCAAACCCTAATCTACTTTAGAATGTGTTATGCTCTGTTTAAGAAATACTCTATACTCCGTAGTAATTTACCTTGTTTTCGGCAATCCAAAAACAATATATTCGCCTACTAAAAAGATAAAGATAAAAATAATGTTTGTATGTGATACTAAAAAATTCTATGAAATGCCATACTTTGGGATAAATGTGTGTCACAAATTAGTACTCCCTCCATCGTCCCAAATTATTTGTCTTATTTCGAACAAAATGTAAAATGTCATTTCTTTTGAAAATTATTTTACTTACCAGTTGATAAAAAATAAAAAGTATTATACCCCGTATAACTAACTAACACATTTGAAATTATATCAACTTCTCTATAAGGTAAGCGATGACATGTGTATTTTATTTAATAAAAGATCAATGAACACGCATACTAAATCAAAAGTTATTTACAACACCAAACAATAACTACTAGGAGAAATAATTCGAGATGGAGAGAATAAATTAAAATTTAGAAAAAAATACTCGATCAGTAGAAAATGATTTACTGAAATTCGTTAGAATATAGAGGAACTTTTTAATAACATATTCCTTTTCAAAAAGAAAAATAAATATTAATATATTATAATAATAAATTCACTTAAATGAAAGTAAAACATGAAATGTATACCAAAATAAGCTACAAAGTATCGTTTTTAATTTTATCTCTAAATAAGAGTGTTGTTACTATTAAACATCCAAAATTATATTTTGGCATTTCACATACAATGTCTTTTGACATTGAAATTATTTGGCAACAACTTCAAAAATTTTGCTTTCGTATTTGGATAAGACTATATAATAATATCGCAATGGCATTAAGTTTTTATTCTTCGAAAATTAATTTGCATCGTTAAAAACTTGTCAAAATTACTAATGCTAATTAAATACATTTATTCAAACAAGATTATTATATTTTGTCACTAGTTATTTAACATTGTTAGTCTTTTTTGGTTGAAAAAAATTAAAAGATGTGCCCACTCTGTCTCTAATATGAATATGAATACTCCGTATTTTGGTTAATTATTCAATTAAATAAATACCAGTATTTTAGTAGGTTAATTAAGAATATACTGGGTATGATTTTACAGAAAATAGTAAACCTAATGAGGGAGCTAGAAAACAGTGTACTACTCACATTCCCAATCCCATCCAACTACACACCACACACTGTCAGTGATATAATCATACCCAATCTGCATTATTCTCTGTACTACTACCTCACTTGTTACAACTCACCCCCCCATTTTTATTTTCATTACTATTCTTCATCATCACTAAGCTAATAAAAATCATCTATTAACGGGCATTGTACAGTTGGCAAAAATAAAGAGTATCAAGAAGGCCAATCCGAGTTCGATTCTTGAAAACTGCGCCGGGAAATAACTATGCAAAATACAACGCCTCTTCAAGTATCAGATACGGACCATGCTAGGGTGTCACCACATGGGTGCACCCATGGTAGCACCCATGTGGTGGCACCCTAGCATTTTCCATCAGATACAAGCTTCACTTTCTGACATCGATCTACGATTAAAGTCTAATTGACCTTCACTCTGTGACTATCACTCTGAACAGGTCTGAGGGATCTTCAGGGATGAAGTTCATCCTTTTCTTTATCAAATGACTAAATTGACAAACCGAAGTACCCGTATGTAAAAGTAAGGGGTAAAAGTAACTTTTTAATAGAAATAAGAAGTGTTTTTTTGGGACGGATGAAAAAGAAAAGCGAAAGGTTTTCAGGAACGGAAGGAGTATATACGAGTATTTAATTAAAAACCCTAAATTAGAGGACATCATAATTAAGGACGGAAGGCATTATGCGGCGGCCATGGCCCGAGTGGCGGCGGAGGGGCTATGAAATCCGTCGCTAGAAGCTGGAGGTCGATCACTGCTACAAAGAACGTCCGGCCGGGTCGGGTAAAACCCAGATCGCAGGTGGATGCAATTAGTATTGAAGTTACATGACAGGGACGACGCTAAAATACTGCACCAGCCTTAGAGCAATAAAAAATATTAACAATAATAAATTCAAAATTGACAAAAATAAATAAAAAAAGAATAACATAAATTAAATAATAAGTATTGAAATTAAAAGCAGAAGTTGAAAAAAATGAAATTGAAATTTAAAAGAATTAGAAACTGCATTGAAGCCTTGCAATGGCCCCCGCCACGGCGCCGGACGCTTCCCTGAGCCCTCCGAGCGGCGCGGCGATTTCCTCCCCTTCCATTGAAAATGTCCTTAGGGATAGTTTAGGAATGTCAATTTCTCCGTACATTTTTTTTAAATTTTTTTCTTGGAGTCTGCAACTAATTATTAATTCATATTTAGGAGATGAATTGAAATAAAATAATGAGGCCACGATGGGAGGGAGTAGCTCCTTCCGTTAAAAAAATTATCTTCTCATTTACTATTTATATAGTCAAATTTTATTTACTTTGTTGGTCTGCTTTCATTGTCAATTTGATAAAATTATATAGTCATGTCACATCTAGTTCACGGAGTAGATCTTTTGATGTAGTTTATTTACATGTAATTTTTAATCCCACGCCATTTTTTTATATAAAACGATTTGAAAATAAGTTAAGTCAAACAACGTAACGCGTAGCGAAAAGATAATTTTTAGACAGAGGGAGTAGGAATAAACCTGGGATGAAGGCTGTTTTTGACAATTTTCTGGCCATATTTCCTCCATTTGTAACCATCATCAAGAACATCAATATCACTCCTTGTTTGGAAGCAAAATCTTGGCTCCCTTAGCTTTCTCCTCACCTTATTCACCTTCCCCTTCTCCATGGAATTCGAAGAGCTTCTCCCCCACCTGCATGTTTTTCCATTCAACCATTCAACTCATGATGAATATCTCACAAAAAAAAGCCGTAATTCAACTAGAAAGTCAAACTTGTAATTTACGTAAACCTAAAAAAAATTTATATTCCAACACGGTTCCTCCAAGTCGATGAGACTTTGATGCCGAATCAGTTCAATTAAATGTTCAAATTTGTGATTAAAAGCCCGCGAAATAAACAAATCATTGAAATTAACAAATGAACAAAAAAACTTAAGCTTCAAAGCTTGAGTATATGCTAGGAGATAGAAAAAGGTTTATACTTATATATATATATATATATATATATATATATATATATATATATATATATATATATATATATATATATATATATTCTTACATTTAAAAAAAACAATAAATTAAAAGATATTTAGTGAGAAAAAACCCATAAACCAACTAATAAAGAATCTTTGGTGTAGAAAATCATTCAATAATTCATAGATGTATGTACTATTTATCTTATCTTTGATGATTCAGTTTGAAAATAAAACGAAAACAGAAGCTTCTCTAAACCACCAAAAGGAGATATAGTGCCCTAAAGTTGGTATATATCAACTCCATCAAAAAAGCTATAGCGACACAAAGAAATACAGTAGTATATACCAACTTTTTATTTTTATTTAAAAAAAATATTTTTAATGCGGTGTATATATAATTATATTTTTTTAATGGTTGCAATTATTTAATTTGTAAATAATAAATACGGCGTTTATAAATACATATTTACCAAGATGAATTGCTACCCTCGGCTGCATAATTACCACCGTAATTTTCAGCATTTCCGCACTTGGGATCCAGCGTTCCGACCTATATAAATCAATACTAGTTAAACTAATTAATCAATTTGATAATTATATAATTTGTAGTACCAAAAAAAACCAAAGAAATTAAACACTTGATTAACGTAATGAATTAATTTCCTGAAAAGGGGGGAAATAAAATTAATTAATTAATTAATTTAATAAAAGCGAACCTGGTCGTGGTTATTATTCCATGAAGGTCTAGTACTACTAGTGGTATTATCATGAGTGAGCGGTAGTGGAGGCTGCTGGGTGGCGCCGCCGTGAAACCCGGGGTGAGCGCCGCCGTTTGGATGGCGGGGATGAGATGAGGAGGAGGAGGAGGGGGCAAAGAAGCTCATGACGGCCGCCGCGGCCGCCGCTTGGTTATGGTCTTCGAAGTGGAGAAACCCCATTTCATGTAACCCTCCATAGCTGTGGGGTAGGGCTAGCAGCCTTGATGATGAAGATGATGATCTTCCTTCTTCCCCTATTTCCATTTTTTTCCTTTGGTTTTTTTGCAACACTTGGCTTCAATATCTTCTACAATGGCTAAGCCACGTACATGATCCTATATCTATCTATCTACCTATCTCTACTTATATATATACTCATTTGACATAACTTTGTATGTGTATGTATATGTGTCCAAATGGTCGAGAAATTTTCTTTGATTTTTCAAAAATATCTTTGATGTGATAAATAAAAGTATGATGTAATATGTAAATTATGAAAGGTAAATTATGAATTAGTAGCTAGGGATAAAAGTGGTTTTTTAATTGAAAGAAGAATGACCTTGTGGGACAAGAAAAAAAGAAAGAAGAAAGAGTTATGTGTGTGTGTGTGTGTGTGTGTGTTTATACGGTGGGGTTCCCATGACATTGGAACCCCATGTCATTGGTTCCCTAGACATTTACTTGAATAATGACTACTTGATAATGACCAAAAGTCCTACATTGGGAAATAAAAACATATGGTCCTATATTGGGAAAGTCATTATGTTTTAGTCCTATTTAAGTAAATTTCTCTAATATTAATTACTAGTTGAAATATTATTTTGAAAATATTTTACTAGATTAATCTATTAAAATTATTATTTTTATATCAATATCTAAATATGGACTATTAATCTTATTTAGTTTATGGTAAATTTTATCAATTTTGACTGCAAAAAATAAAAATGAACACACTCTGGGACGGAGATTGTAATAATAGACGGGTTGCCACTAACTTTGAATTTATTTTAATTTTTTAATTAGAAGAGCTTTAGAATGTAGGAAAATTCTATTGTAGTTATTGAAGTACGCTATAATTTTTGCAACAAATTCATTCTTTTGAAAACGTAGCGTTAATATTTTTAAAGTTAATCTAAACTATTAACAGATAATCTAAAGTATTGACGCTAATTGAAAATGTTAGGTTATTCCCAAAACTAGACTAAAGTGTTGAGTTGAATTACTTAAATACTTAAATTAGATAATGGATTGAGATGAATGTTTTAATGTGATTTTCAACCCTTTTAAAAGTGCATGCTTGCATTTTCAATTCTTTATTTGATTAACAAACTCCATCAACTTTCCATTCAAGGCGACACCAACTTCATATATTGTTACTTTGTTTAACAATAGTGCTTAAATGTCAACCAACATTTCATTTCTCTTGTCTACAGAACTTCCAACATCTTACCCTATTTGGAAGACGCCTGCTTCTAGTAATAAAAGAATATATAAACACCTACGGTACAACTTATACTAATATAATGAATTATAAACATAATTAATTAAGATTCATTTACTATGTATCATTATAGTTTAGCTTAATCTTTTTAAAAATATTTTCCCAAATGATACAATAGTTTAAAATCTTTTTAAAAAATTACCACATTTACCCTTTATTGTAGTTAGATCAGAAGGCGTTTTGAATGTTTTTTGGCGTTTAAGACGATATAAAAGTGTTTTATGGGATGCACAAAAAATTAAACATTACTTTTTTTTGGGACAAAGGGAGTACTATACTAGATATTTGACACTACCTTTGATATCATACAATCTTTCACAGACATACAAATACTTCAATCTCACATAAACAATAATTATTTATTTTGTTTATATTTCTATGAAACACTGATGTTAAATGTGTAACTTTCTCTCTTTTTTTGTAAACTCTTGTCAAAAAAAAGAAAGAATAGAAAGGACAGGAAAGAATATAATTCTAGAGAGCAATGAGTGTGCATAGGTCATTACAATTTCTAATCCATGTCAAAGGATGTCGGCCAAACACATTCATTTTTGTCCCTAATTTCGGCTCACCTTTGTTTTTCATCACTTGGGAGTTTGGACGGACATTTGTTCCTTCTATCTATCTAATTAGGTTAAGTTTGCAAAATCAAACCAAAAATTTCAATTTTCTTTTTTTATAACTGCAGATGATACATTGGGCAAATGATATATCCTTCTAATATTAGATCAATTATGAATTATCTTTTCTATATATCTTGAGAATAATCTGATATCTTGGAGCACATAAAAGTAGGCATGAGTATCGAAGTCTTCTACATAGGCCGAATATAAGGCCCTTTTTGTAGCAGTGTCTGAGGTATATGTAAAATAATCAAATAGTTCTTATTTCTCAACCACTTGTTATGTGAGTACAAGGGATAATTTATACAAGAATAAGAATAGCCTAGGGTAGCCAAGAGTTTTCTAGAGTTATTCTTAATCATGGTGGTATACATATATATGTTACAATATTATACATTAAATATAATAAATATTATACTTCCTCCATCCCACAAAAAAGTTCCCATTTTGACCATAAATTGGTCAAACAGTTGCACGCTTTAACCATAAATTAAATATAATCTAAATAAAGAAATGCTAAAAAAATTTGAGATATCAAAACTAGATCCTAAGATGAATCCAATTATATTAAATTTATTTTATAATTCAATATAATTTTCTCACAATTTGTAGTCAAAGCGTGTAAATATTTGACTAAATACTATTCAAAATGGGAACTTTTTTGTGGGACGGAGGGAGTATTTAACAGTATATAAGCTTTTGAATTGAACTAACTAATTGATTGGATTCAATCTTTTAATGTGGTTCAGCCCAAGTATCTTATTGTCCAATCCAATTATTATTACACATTCTAAATTCTATCACCAAGCTTCATCTTCCTTCCGCTCGTCTCACGGGAGATAGCAAGAACATTACATAATTAATTATACTTAGTTATGGACCTTGTTTGTTATTTGCCCAATCCATCTCTATAAATACTCTCTGAATACTCTTTGTCACATTGAGTACTTATTCTTTTCAATTCCAATACAAATCAGACTTTTATATACTAAAATCCTAAAAATAATATTCTAAAATCCTCTAATAACTAATACACGTCGTAGTAATTATCCAAGTAATTATCTAGGGTTACGTTGGTGATGACCTGATCTGACTGGTCCTTATCGTGCACTCTCTTCCATCCGATCATATCACCTACGCAATAACATAAGAAACAACCTCAGCTCAGCTCTTTCTAAAGTTACTAACCTTTAACCTCCTTTTTTCCTCTTTTAATACTCCCTATTTCTTAGCTTGCTTTTTTTTTAAAATGTGTGTATATGTACACGTCACTTCCAGATATATATCTGTATATATGGGCTTTGTTTGGATTAAATTTTTTGGATTAAATTAAATTTTAATGGTGTAGCTTAATTGTGAAAAACGCTAAAGCTAAACGCTACCGTCGGATATCTTTTTCAAAACGCTAACGTTAAACTCTAACGTTGATGCCAAAGAGAGTCATAATCCTTAACAGATACACGTTTTTTGTAGTGTACGCGCAATTTTTATGATATAAACTAGACTTGTTGACACAGTTGAGAACAATTCCAATTAATTAATTTCGTAATGGCATTGGAAATCAATAGAGTGAACAATCAATCATATGTATCTTTGGTAAATTTTTGGACCAAAATCACAATAGTATTGTGAATTAAGTTATACTCCCTCCGTCCCGGAAAACATGGGAGTGTTGATTTTGAAGAGGAATTTAAAGCGAGTGTATTTTGGTATTGAATTTCTAAAAATGTTCTTTGATATGATAGGTAAAAGTATGATTTGATGGATAGATTATTAGTAAAAAAGTATGATGCGATAGGTAGGGTATAAAGGTAGGGTATAAAAAAGTAAGGGGTAAAAGTGACTTTTTAATTTTAATGAGAAGTGTTTTTTGGGACGGATAAAAAAAAAAGTTTTCAGGGACGGAGGGAGTAGTACAACTTTTAGTAATAATTCTATAGTTATTTTTTGTTGAGTTTTTTTACTTAGGTTTTCTGTTTTTGTTAAAAAAGAATGTTATCTTTAAAGTAGGAATCTTTTCAAACGATAAAAAGCTGTAAAAAATGAAACAACTTAACCCAAAGTAAAATACTACTCTGAGTACTAATAATTAGGGGTGTTCAAAAATATCCGATCCGAAATATCCGTCCACGATCCGGGCCGATCCGATCCGAAAAATGGATATCCGATCCGATATTTTAGCTTTCGGATATTTTGGATCGGATACCCGAAAAAAATCGGATCGGATATGGATTCAATTTTTGGAATTTTTCGGATAACCGGATATCCGATTTTTTTTTTGCTATATATTTTTTGAATTTTATGGATATATATTATGACTATATGTTTAAATGTAAGTTTATATTGATTTTGGAACTCAATCATTTTGGACTTTTTGTATTAGCATTTTAGAATCTTTTGTTTTAATAATGTTTTTTTTGTTTGTTTAGGTAAAATTACCA